TTTTGAGCATGACTAGTTATTAGGGATGTCCCTATCAGGTTTTTTTTTTTGCCCCCGAGTTATTTGATTTTAAGCATCTACCAATACCGAAACTCAATCCAATACTTCTATAATACAGAATAAGAATAAAGAAGAGCGGAAAAATACATCCAGCATGTTCCTTATTTTATTTATTGCTTTTAGGTGCCTTCTCAGGTTTGTTGTGTTAAATGTAGCCTTTTACTTTCCACCTCTTGCAATCCAAAGTTTACGTATTTCACAGTCTGCTATGGCAATGTTGTCGTCTTCGACTTTATAATGACCCCAGACCGCAGACATACTCACACTTTCAGCTATAAGCTGTTTCTGTGTTCTACTTTACCGGCATTTAACCAATAGCGTCTCTGCAACAAAGTGATGTCCTGCCGCACATGTTGCTGTTTCTGTGTGAAGTCTAACTCTGTCCCACTGCATAACTATATATATGTATATGTGTGTGTGTGTGTGTGTGTGTGTGTGTGTGTGTGTGTGTGTGTGTGTGTGTGAGACCTGCTGCAGGCGTCTCTTGGCTCTCTGCAGCGCGTCCTCGTAGCCCTTCTGCCGCAGCTCGCTCAGACTCTCGTAGTATTCCTCCGCGTCCTCGCTGTCCGGGAACAGAACCTGAGAGAGGATCCTCCAGCCGCAGGTGTCGAGCGCGTGGCCCAGGTACACCTGCAGCTGGAAGCACAGCGCGTCCGTGTCGCGCGCGCTCATCTCTGGCACGCCGAACAGCACCGACCACACGCCGGTCTGCTCCTCCGGCAGCGCGGGCAGGCAGGGCTCCAGGTCCGCGTTCACGGCGCACAGCTGCAGGTGAGCGGCACGCAGGTCCTGGAAGGAGAACAGGCCGGCCCAGCTGGAGTCCTGCCGCGCGCTCAGCTCCGCGTCCTCCGCCGCGTCCAGCAGCTCCAGCTCGGCGGCTGCGCTCGGACTGCTCTGCCCGCCGCTGCGCTCTCGGCCCGGGCTACGGTGCGCAGGCCGCGCGGTGCGTCTGTCCGTGTCCGCCGCCGCCGCCAGCTCGCCCTCGGCCGCCTCCAGCAGGGAGTCCCGCTCGGCGCTGCGCTTCTGCACCGTCCGGTTGTGACACGTGACCGCGAACTTTCCTTCGATCTCGTTCCAGGCGACGATAAACACGAACTTGTGCTTCTCTTTCTCCTCGAACACGTTCGGTCTCACCGACACCCAACCGGACTCGATCGCGTCCTCCATCGCGAATGACATCAAACGCCGCGCGCGTTCACACCGAATCCGGTCCGCGCGGGAGAAGAAGAAGAAGAAAGGCCAGACTAAAACGTTAACGGACGCGGATGATCACGCTCGACTGCGGCCCCCAAAACCAACACCGACTTCCGTTGCGTTATTAGTGCGCGCGTCCCTCCGCGGTTTCACCTGCGCGCGTCGCGTCACCTGCCGCTCGCGGGGCCTTTTGTCCGCTAATCCGCATCTTTAACATCGCCAATGTTTCTCATCCGACGACAACTGAGAGCTGACGTCACAGAGAGGAGGACGTAAACATCTGCACGTGGGACACGCACGCGGCGTGATGACGCAACCGGGGGCGCACGAGACGCACGCCAAAAACAACTCCAGCAGGACAAAGGAGAATTTACAGAAGTGTGAAGATGTGAAGTGTGTGGAGCAAAGACAGATCTGACCACACACACACACACACACACACACACACACACACACACACACACACACACACACACACACATCAGTGCTGATGTTTGTATTCTACAGACTGCATATTCTCTCCTCTCCTCTAAACTCATCTGCTCGTCTACATCCGCACACTCCTTCACTCTGCCTCATATGGGCATGTTCATCCATGAATACCCCCATATTGGCCCCCTCAGTGACACAACAAGTCCCCACGAGTCTGTGTGCATACAGGTTTATTGTCCCCACTGGGATGTGAAAACAAGTGTCTAAACACACACACACAGCTCGATCATCATCATCATCATTGATCAATAATTGATGAAGTGCAGCTGTTCGTGTGTGTTCAATAGTTCACTCGCGGTTATTACGCGTCATAACGCTGCTTGTGCTCGGCGGTTGTGGATGTTTGGGGTGTTTGTGTCGTCAGTGCAGTTTATTTCTGTCCAGCAGGGGGAGCCACTGACCCACACACGGCCAATAACACTCATATTAATAATCTCACTATAATGTTATTACGCTGTTATTAATACCCGCACGCCCTCTTTCAGCTCTGTTTGTATTGAATTAATCGATTTATTATGAGACAATATGTATAGTCTGTCTATCATCTTCCTAGAGATTTAAAGTATCTAATTCAGGGGTGTCGAACTTAATTCCTGGAGGGCTGA